AGAAAAAAAAAAAAAAAAAGGAATATATATATAAAATCCCTGTGTACCTCGTATTTGTGTCCTTGACTGCATATGTATTATACCTCAATGAGCTGGGCATGGTGGCACTTGCCCATTGGCACTCAGAAGGCTGAGACAGGAGGATACCCTGAGTTTGGGGCCAGCCTGAGCTACTTAATAAGTTCCAGACCAGTCTGAACCACATAGACTGTCTCAAGAAGTAGATATATGCATATATATTATACCTTACCTTAAAAAAAATTTTTTTTGGGGAGGGACTGGGGTGATGGCTCAGTGGAATAAGCGCTTTCCTGGCAAGCGCAAGGGCCTGAGTTCAATCCCCAGTTCTGCCAAAAAAAAACAAAAAAATTTTTTTTGGTGATTGCATATTGACAAAGATTTCTTTTGCTCAGTTTAAGTAAAACTTCCCTTCCTAGGAATATATTATCTATTCAGTATTCCAAGTTGCAAATGGAAACTGATCTTAGGTTAGTTTAGCAGATATGATTTATTTACACCATAAAGTAGCTTATAGCTCCCTGCAGAGGGCCAGAAAAGCAGGCTTGCCCCTGGCTGGGCTTCACAAACTTAAGTTGCTCCCCATTCCAGCGGAGACCCCATTGCTAAGCCCTGGTACAGGGCCTTGCCCTCACCCCTGCAGTGCTGGGTGGTGAACCCACTTCAGAGCCACTCCCTGAAGACACATGCTCACCCCCATTGCCAGGACAGATCCTCGGGGGTGCCTTCCTATGATTTTGAACTATTTGGGTGCCCTCCTGCAGGGCCAAGTCCATCCTCAGTGACCTTTGCCTGAACTGTACCTGCAGGGGACACTGGGAGTATGGATCTCCTACCCTTGTCTCAGCAGGGAACAAGACGAAATGTCCTCTCATCCCAGCAGGCTTCAGACTTGCACAGAGTCAGAGGGAACCCAGATAGCTGCCCCAAGAAAAGCACCTTAACCAGGCACCATGGCACTGTAATCCTGGCAGCCCAGGATCCTGAAGCAGGTGAATCGAGGCCAGCCCAGGCAGTTTAGAAAAAAATAATAAGAGCTGGGGATGTAGTTGTAGTGCAGAGCCAAGACCCTCGGTTCAGTGCCCTGTACCAGTACCACTGAATCCCCAGCCTTGTGCCTTCAACCACTGTTGACATAGCAGTTACTCTCTTCTTAACCATGATGATACTGCATGGTGTCAGAGCAGAAAACCAGCCACAGAAGTTGTTCAGCCCTCTCACCGTGCTTGTCAGTGTCCACCGGGGGTTTCCTGAAGAGCGTGATGTGTCTCTAGATGCTTGCAGATGTTCTTCTGCCCTTTATTCAGCTGTGCTCCTGCAACCCCATGTCCACAGGGGTTCTCACTTTAAGTCTCACAGCTGGTAGCTGTGAGTAGGTGAGTGTTACTCGAAGACTGTGCATGGAGTCAAATGCCTGCTCCTTTATTCACTTGCAGGAGTTAGAAGCTTACGTAGACGATGTAGATGTGGACAGTGATTTCCGGAAGGATGATCTCTTTTACTTGTCTCAAGAAGACAAGGAAAGACAGAAGCAGGAGCAGGAGGAGTCCAAGCGGGTCCTGCAGGAGCTCAAGTCCGTGCTGGGGTTCAGAGCCTCTGAGGCGGAGAGGCAGAAGTGGAAGCAGCTTCTGTTCAGTGAGCACGCTGTGTTGAAACCCTTGTGTCCTGTAGACGCAGAAGAGGCAGAAGTGGAAGCAGCTTCTGTTCAGTGAGCACGGTAAGCACTGGCTGAGGAGAAATGGGTATGTCCTGAGAGGGCCCCTTCTGTTCCTGAGCCAGGAGTCTCGTTTGAACTGTGGAATTACTAAAGCGTTAATCCTAGGCATCCACTCAGTTCGAACTGTGGAGTTTAAGGCTTTAATCCTAGGGATCCACTCAGTAATCAGTGGCAGACTTTCCTCAAAAAGTGCATTGCCTGCAGCTCTATCTTGAAACCCAGAAGGGCTCCCTTTCTGGTTTATTAGCCACCTCAGCATAAGAATCCATGATGGGGGCTGGAGAGATGGCTTGGTGGTCTGAAGCACCTACTTAGAACAAGCTTAGCAAAGCACAGGGACCGCAGTTCAGTCCCCCAGCACCACATGCCGGCCAGCCCCACCCCCTGGTGGGCTGGGCTGGCCACACACACACACACACACACACACACACAAAATAAATGTATAAATAAATAATTTTTAAAAAAGAATCCATGATGCCCAATTATGTTTTCTACCATCCCTCTGGCAGATAACTTTCCTGACTCAGGCTATTACATGAGACTGCAATACCACAGCTCCCCGCTGTTGTTCATGGGGAGACTCCATGCGGAAGCAGAGCCCTCCCGGCCGTCCCCACCATCCTGTGGGCCTCAGCCTCTCAGGCTCCTGCCGCCTGCACACACGTGCTGTTCTCCCTGCAGGCCCCAGCCCTGGCCCTGGAGAGGTGCTGTAAGCAGTGAGGCAGAGAGGAGGGGCCTGGAGAAGTGACAGTAAAGACTGGCTTCCTGTCCTCTGCTTGTCCACCTACTGGGCCTACATAAGTTAGAAATAATGGTATTGGGTTTTAGGCTTTATTGTTTTCTCTATGTTCATTTTGGGTTTTTATGTGTGTATGGTACTGGGGACCAGACCCAGAGCCTTCACACTGAGCTACATCCCCAGCCCATTTTATTTTACTTTTAATGTTCAAATTGGATCTTGGTTAATCATTAAGTTGCCCAGACTGGGCTCAAACTTGGTAGTCCTTCTGCTTCAGCCTTCCAGAACACAGGGATTACAGGTGTGCCCCACCACACCTGACTGTGGTAAGCTTTTCATCTCTGTAACTAAACTACAGTCTTCTTTTTTTGGGGGGTGGGGAGCAAGAGTACGAGGAATTGAACTTGGAACCTTGCACTTGCCAGGCAGGCACTTCTGCCACTGAGCTCTATCCATGGCCTACATAGAGTCTTCTTAAGTAGGGGTTTTATTGTCCCCCACAGTATTTATTCAGCAGGTTACTCTTTCAGCAAGTAGCTGCTATTTGCTAGACACCATCTACCACTGTATGCCTACCACATAGATGGAGAGACACAAGTCCGTGCTCCCCTGGGGCTTCTGTCCTGCCCCAGGCCCCCCTTATGAGGGTTCTGTACTGCCCTGCAGCTAGGAACCATTGTGAATATCAGTCAACTCTATCTTCGCACATTTTGGTAAGAACTGGCAGGTTTATAAACTACAAATGTGTATGAATCCTGAAAATAGCATTGTGTCTTTTCATTGCTCAGTATTTCCTTTGTATAGTTTTAAAATTACCTATTAAGTGCCTGCCTAGTGAGCACAAGGTCCCAAGTTCAATCTCTGGTACTGCAAAAAAATATAATAAATAAATAAATAAATAAATAAATAAAATTACCTATGGACAGTATGGGCAAATCAGAAACGTGTCTCATTTTCAACTGTGTGCTTTTAACAGTTTGCAATACCACCATGTAGCTTGTGAAAATAATTAAAAAGCTATTGATAGCATAAAGCGCTTTTCCCTTGCCTATTCCACTCCATCTTCCAGAGCTCTTTTCATCTCTGCCTACAGGGGTAAAGTCCGAATGGAATTAGAGAGGGACTGCACTGGAACCTGCCGTGGCCACTTTTTTCTGTGTTGCTGCTTCTCTAGCGGAGTTGCTGCAGCGTAGGGATGGCTCTTGGAAATGGACAAGTTTTACCAAACAGTTTTTTAAATACACGCCAGCTCTTCAAGAAGCACTCTTTTCCCTCCATCCTGCTTCATAATGTGTTGCATTGTACTAACCCCTCATGCTGGAGGGACAGACGCTTCGCCAGCGACCCACTGCCTACTAGCACCACGAGGGGCTAAATCAAACTTCATTTCCTTGCAAGGACGCCGGGTGCCGTGCAGACGTGTGTCATACTTAAGTGCTACACCTTGCTCACTTGTGGGTCTTGAATGCACATTTATCTTGTTTGTATCTTTCTATGGCCTGTTCGTTGTGTAGCTATATGGCCTTCCTTCCTGTAGGGTCTTGTAGGTGGACAGAAAGTAAGTTGAACCATGTGTTGCACTGTCCCATGCTGTTTAAACTTGTACCTGCATACATCTGTGTTGAAGATATGATTATTTCAATCACTGTAGGCATTTTACCTAATACATTTTAAGTGAAATCCATGCTACTTATCCTTTCCTAACAATATTCTCACACCTTATGCACATGAGGATCAAGTAGAGAGCTTGTGTTTCTAAGACATTTCTAGGTGATGACGCATACCCTTGGTTCAGGGACCACATTTTGGTGGTTCAGGGACCACATTACAGTGCTTTCACTAGAAATTTTTATTAAGCTTTTATTTATCATTCTTCTTTTTTTTTTTTTTTTTTTGGAAAAAAAAAGGCTATGGGGAGTTTAAGTTAAAATTTAAATGATTGCTGGGTCCTTAGTTATTATTTTTCTTTTTTCTTTTCTTTTCTGTTTCTTTGAAGCTGTGTTGAAACCCTTGTGTCCTGTAGACGCAGAGGAACCCCTAAGTAATTCAGAGCCATCAGTGAATTCAGATTTGGGAAAAGTCAGTCAAAATGATGCCGAAGCAGAAGCTAGTGCGCCCTCCGTGACTGACAGTGCGATAAATAGGACTGAGTACTCCTGCGGGACCCCTCCAGCTGGGGAGAATGCGGCCAGTCCCGCAGGTGAGGCCCTCCCTGAGGCGATGACGGGGGCCAGAGTGTCTATCCAGGGTGACAGCGAGGCCGCGCCCAAGCCCCCTGCAGCAGCACAGTGCGTGCTGCCCCAGCGACTGGCCCGGCTGCAGCTCTCCCCAGAGCTCAGCTTCACTGCCGGCCTCGCCGCGCAGGCGGCTGACCGCTCTCTGTCCTTCACCACCATGCAAGAGCAGACTTTCGGCGATGAGGACGAGGAACAGGTGATGGAAGAAAAGCGAGAGGATCCAGAAGGACAGCAAGAACCCGGATATACGTGAAGCTGTCTTAGCTAGTACTTCCCAAGCGCTCTAGCTCCAGGAATGGAAAGGGGAAAGCAGTATGAATTTACTATAGACAGAGCTGTGAATTCACAGAAAGAACCCTGGTTTGAACAACTGGTCTGAAATTAGTAGTTACCTATAAATGGCAAATCTTGTAGGAGAATAAGAAAAAGGTAAGGGCTCCTTTGCTTAAACTGGCATTTATTTGTGGCACAACTGTTAATCTTGGTAATACTTTCAGTACTTTTAATAAAAATGAATTTACTGTTTCTTGCCAGAATTTGCTAACCTGGGGTGACCAGGATAATCCTCTTGCAAGAACAGGGCCGTTCAGTATGACTTCTTTTTACTGTACCCTTGCAGTTAAGAACTGCAGCTATTCTCAAGTTGTTTGTATTTTATTTTTTGTTTATACCAACCTTCAAACAAGACACAGGCTCTGAATAATAAAAAAAAATTACTTCATAAGTTGATGTGTGCTGGGATTTGGAACTTCAAGTAGTTTCACAACATTTGTGACACAGTCTTCTGTTTCCCTGATCATGTGTGAACTCCATAGCTCATTCTGAGATGTCTTAACAATCTCTACAAGAAATCAGTATATCATGTTGAGGAATATCCTTGCATTTATTGTTCTGCCACTTCTCCACTCCTGATACAAGAGATGACACAAAGTGAGAGAAATCCTAGTGGCCGAAGACCCACACCACCCTAGCAGACAGGTTTTTTTGGTTTTCTTTTGAGACAGGGTCCTCGCTGTGTTACTCAGGCTGGCTTGCACTCATGTCACTAGATTGGCCTGGCTCTCCTGGTGATGCTCCTGCCTCAGCGTCCAGAGTGCTAGGATTGCAGGCATGTGCCACCACACCCAGCTAGCAGATTGACCTTCATATCAGTTTTCCTAGATTGAATGTGTGCTGTTACCATGAGCAGGGACAGTGCTGCTATTCTCTAGCCCCAGCCCCCTACGGAGCCTCAGGAAACCTGGGCTGTGTGGAAGGCATCCCTGTCTCTTTAGTAACCCACTTACAGACTACCTCTTAGAAGGGACTGCTTTGCACATCGGCGGGTCTCCTCGCTCGGCGTCAGGACTGTTTTCAGGGTGATGTTTGCAAGAGCGCCCTGTTTCTGAGACCTGTCCCACCTGCGCACTCACGTACTTGTAGACATTACTGGGATGGTGGAGGAGAAGCTCACTCGATGCTGCTCTCCCACAGAGGTGAGAAATCAAGATCTAGGTTAGGAAACACATTCGCTGCTGTCCTGCAGAGGTAGGGAATCGAGATCTAGATTAGGAAACATTCGAATGCCTGAAACTTAGCACTTCTGTGAATAAATTTACTTACATCAAAGGAATTTTTTTTGAATAACTATTTTTTATCCTGAGGAAAAACTTGGTTCTGCTTTATATAAATAGTAGTGATCGTTGAACCATAAATGGTTTACCTTTTGCTTGATTTCCGGGAGGTGACATAATTAGCCTCTCATGCAGTACCTTAGATTGTACCTTTGTTAAGGATAAGGAACCTTCTTTGTTATAACTGACTTTAGTTTGCCCGCTCCATTTTCCCTTGGGTTTAGAAGATGTGATCATGGAAAAATGTAATAGTCTCACTACAACCTTACAGGAAGAATTAGAATTTAGAAATTTTTTTCCTTTATTGTTTTAGTTTTATTCTAGTTTGAGGAAAATATCTTCAAATAGTATGCTTTATTCACTGCTCTATGAGGTAATTCTGAAGTATTTATAAGACAAAATACTCTCTGTGAAAAACTCCTTGACTGATTTTCTGATGATATCCTATGCCATTGTTTATCAGTTGTTTTAGTGGGATACCTGCTTCAGAATAAACTAAAGGTTTTATTTTTTAAATGCAGATTTCAGGCCATACGCTCTGTAATTCTTATTTTGGAATGATACCTAGCTAATGTTTATGCCCAATAAAATCTAAAAATCGCTGTGTAGCACTTTGTTCTTGCCATTAAACACCTTAGGAATAAATGCAGGGCAGTGTAATGTAAGTAAGGTGTTTGTGTTCGTTATTTTTCTAGAAATATTTTACTTTTTACTGTCAGGTTCTGACTAGTTTCAATAGCTACCATTCTACACCCAGAGGAAGCCCTCTAGGAAAAGTTTTGTGGAAGACACTGACAGTTGTACTTGGCAAATTTCACACTATTAGAGAATTTAATTCTTGTTCAAAGTAGCATCTTGACTTTGTGACACCGACGTTACTCCTATAGTTTGTTTTCCAGGACCAAGCTGGTTCTACAAGAAAGCAAGCATGGGAATGGCCATTTGGGTCACTATGGAAGATAAGTCTTTGGTCCTTTTGTCAACCTCCAGATAGGACAGGCATGCCGAGAGCGATCAGGTCCAGGATCCCTTTGTCAGCATCCCTCAAGGCCTGCCTCTCTCTTGCCATCTTTGATTTGCAATCCTTGGGCCAGGAAGATAACTCAGCCTCACAGTGCCTGCCTGCCAGGCAAGCACAAGGTTTTGAGTTTGATTCCTAGTACAAAAAAAAATTGCAGTCCTCTGCTTGTTTCCACAAGTCCTGTGTGTTACCTGCATTCCTAGGTGAAGCCCTCCTTAAAAGCACAGTAGTGTGCTCATTACTCATGTTTGCATTCTTAAGTTACTAGAACAAGCACGTGCAGAGAAAGACATTCAGACTTTCCTAGAGAGGAGGCCAGAGTTTAAATTTCAGACCCGGCCTAATAATATTGAGGGGGACAGGATAGCCCCAGCAGAACGCAAGCTCTCTGAACTGCTAAATGACGTTTGCTCCTTCTCAGAAGAGAATGGAAATAAAACCTTTGAGACTGAAAAGTAAGATCTGGTTATATGTCAAAATGGTGTACATAGCTCAGCTAAATCACTGTTCAACTGAAGGAGATCTCCAGCTACAAGTACTGACTTTTTTTTCCAGTTTTATAGAAATGTGCAGTTTGTGCAAATGCAAATATTTTAGGAGAGAAAATGTAAAAACATACGAAAAAACCACCCAACCATTCATTCATCACTCATCACTAACACGAGACTGACCAGGTAACTGAGGCAAACCCACTTGCTCATTCCAGTCCACAGCTTAGTGCCTAAGTGTACTTCCCACTTCCCGACTGCCCCTAGGTCAGACAGCGTGCCTGCCCTTTTCCATGTCAGCTTTGGGAGTCTCAGCCCCACTCCTGCGTGGTAAATGACTGGGTGACCCATAAGCTGGTGCTGTTGCTGTCACAAGCACCCCTTTGCGTATACCCACACGGGTCTGTGCTTTTTGACTATGTCTGTGTCTCACCATCTCCGTATCTTCCTTATCATCAGCTGTCACTTGCTGCTGTCTTGTGTGCCTGCCTCCTGCACTAGGTCCTTCGCTGGCTGCTTCTGACTGCTGCGGACTGAAATCCCAGATGCCATGCTTGCCACAGTTGTATCTAAAAGAAGAGTAAGTAACCCAATAAAGGCTGAGGGCTTTTCTGGCAGTAAAATGCATGGACTATGTGGTACCTGTGTGGCTGCTAACATTCCTTTGTTTGCCTTAAAAACATGCTAAAAATTTTGCTGGAATATGTGGCTGCCATGTATTGGACTGACTAACCAGCTTTTATGTATTGATGTTCCTAGAACTATGCTAATGAATTCAACTGGAAAATGAAATGTGACTGTCATCTTTGTACAGATCATTGTATATATTTCAGAAGTGTTAAATATTTTGTTTTTGTTCATTCATTCTTAATTCAGTATAGCATTTTAAAATTCATGGGGCCAATATGGCTCAGTGGATTAAAGCACCTGCAAGCAGGCTCGGGTTCGATCCTCGGGCCTGCCATGCCGCCCCACCTCCAGGGTGCACTGAGACGGCAATCGAGACTGGGCACAGGCCTGTAATCCCAGCTCTTGAGAGGCTGTAAACAGGTGGATGACTATAAGTCTGATCTAGTAGTGAGACTCTGAACACCCTGTAGACCCTTCCCTAAAATACAAAAAAAATAAGAAATAAAATACATGGGGCCAAATGTGGTGGTGCATGCCTGTAATCCTAGCACTCAGAAGGTTGAGGCAAGAGGATTGTTGCAAGTTTAGGACCAGCCTGGGCTACAAAGTGAGCTCAAGGCCAGCCTGAGCTGCTTAGCGAGGCCCTGTCTCAAAAGATTTTTAAAAAAAAGGTAAAATGGCCATTAATAACATCAGTGATTATACCCTTGTAGATAAACACTGAGAACTATTTCTCCCTGTACTAAATGACTGCTCTTGGCTGTGCCTGTATGGGTTTGCACATCTAAGTGTCTTTGTTTTTAATAGTTGTTCTGCTTCCCAAGTTAATGGCCCTGCTTACTTAAGTATGTGGGTGACAGTAGCCTTTCTTCACTTTCCTTTTTGTGGTTTTGTTTTTTGGGTTTTTTTTAGTTCTCTTTGTGGGACAGGGTTTGGCTATGCAGTTCAAGCTGGCCACAAATCAGACCTCCTGCTTCAGCCTCCTGAGTGCTGGGATTATAGGTGTGTGCCACCATCTCCTCTGTCTTAGTGCACCCTCTGACCTGTTTTGGTTTTGAGCAGCAGGTGACAAAGCTAGTTAGAACTGTGTGTAGAGGCCAGGGAGATGGCTTAGTAGAATAAGCACTTCCCTGGCAAGCTCAAGGGCCTGAGTTCAATCCCGGGTTCCTCAAAAAAAAAAAAAAAAAAAAAAAATGTGTGTAAACTAAGAGTAAACAGACACAGTGAGGCCAGAAGTGGGTTGTGCACAGGTGGAGAGGATTTCACACCATCTGTTAGTCACTGCCTGTTAAGCTGGTCTCTTTAATCCTGTGAAGTCCCTGACTCAGTACTTGTCCTCAAAAGACAAGAGTGGTTATTGTACACAAGGGTCCATTTCGTTTTCATACTTCTCTGAAGTTAGTTTTCACTATGATTTCTCGGCTGTGATTAAAACCAGTCCATTCAAGTTAGCAGTTTCTGTAGTATTTTCTACTTGGATTGGAAAACTCATGCTGTTAAATGTATTTGGCTTTTTTTTTTTCCTTAAGACAAAGGTATATTTACTTTCAAGACATAAAGTAGATTAAGCCCTGAAAAAGAAGACATTTAGAACTGATGTCACAAAGATCTGCAAGATCTGTAGACTAAGACTTGTAGACTCTAGGCCGTGATACCACAAAGGATTTATTCTTTGATGTACTACTTCTTCAAGTAGTATCTTTATTTTCTTTTTTTTTTTTTTTTTTTTTTTTTTTTTTGGCAGAACCAGGGATTGAACTCAGGCCCTTGCGCTTGCCAGGAAAGCGCTTATTCCACTGAGCCATCTCCCTGGCCCCTCAACTAGAATCTTTATTCAGCTAAAGGGAATATATGTTAAAAGCTTACCAAAAGTTATCAGTTATTAGATACTGATAGACTAAACTGAATGACTAAATTCCCCCTATCATTCTACATTTGGTAGGTATAAATT